GAAACCAATGCTATATTGGGAACAGTAAACAGCTAATAAGAATCAGTCTTTAGGACTATTTATTTATTTTATTAGTTTGTCAAACATGTACAAGATAACAGGTGTAAGTATGGACATGGACATGAACAAAATAAATGAATACAAATAAATGGAGACAGTAGGACAGGGATGGTAGGCATGCTGGTGCACTTATGCATGCCTCCTTTACGGACCTCTTAGGAATGGGGTGAGGTCCACAGTAGATAGTTGAAGGTTGAAGCTGTGAGGATTTGAGGATATAACAATGGAGTCAGGTAATGCATTCCAGGTATTGACCACTCTGTTGCTGAAGTCATATTTTCTGCAATAGAATTTGGACAGTTTACTTTGAGTTTGTATTGATTGTTTGTCCCTGTATTATTGTGGTGGAAGCTGAAGTAGTCATTGATAGGTAGGACATTGTAGCAGACAATTTTGTGTATTCTGCTTAGGTCCGACCACAGGTGGCACAGTTCCACGTTGTCCAAGCTCAAAATTTCGAGCCTGGTGGCATAAGGCATATTTAAATAAAATAATATTTTAAAAAGGCATATTTAAATAAAATGTTTAACAAAGTAAGCCTTAAGAAGGTCAACTTGGATTTCCATTTGAATGTGTTGACTGCAAACTGTATCCTTCAGAAACGCTGCTTACTTTGAGTCTTATTTAAAATCTAAAAAACTGCACCCCGGAGAAACTTTCTTACCTTTTACAGGGAAAGAACCTGCCAATCACTAGTAAGGCTGCACTGTTTGTTTCAAAGGCTATCTTGAAGAAGACATAATATCTAGGGGTTAACTGGGATTAATTGTAGGCGTGATAGTTATTTAGGGTCATGAACTTTTTTGAATATATATTTTGTATTTTTGCATAGGTTTTGGTATATTTGATATGGTCAATTGACTTAATAAATAAAGTTTCTATCTATATATTTAAATGTGAGATTGATTTGGGTTCTATAGGATAGCTTGGAAAATGGCCAAAACTTTCCAGAAGGCAACAGTGATAAATTGTTTGTGCAGTGTTGTAAAAAAAAAAATCACAGAATTATCAGGAGTTATTTTGTACTGAAATATACTAGACAAATTAGATAGTTCTATTTGTAATCAACCAGTTGCTTTTCCAAGTCTCGTTTTTTTTTTTATTTGATTTCCTCCCCTATCTTTATTTGGATTAATTGAATGAAAGCTTACGGACAGCATTCTCCAATTGTTGGCATATGAGTTCCGTGCGCCTTCGGCATTTAGTCATACCGGCCACATGACCACAGAGACGTCTTTGGACAGCGCTGGCTCTCCGGCTTTGTAACCACACCTTAGAGTCAGGAACAACTAGCACATATGTGTGAGGGGAACCTTTACCTTTATGCTCCCATTTCCTATTTTCCCCAAGTAGCCCTGTGAGGTGGACAGTGAACTTACATGAAATGTTGGAATGGCTGCAAAAGAGACAACTGCCAGTCAGAATGTGGCCATTGTGGAAAACAAACTGGTGAGGATCTTTCTCAGTCATGCCCACATTACTTTACCTGTCAATCTCTCAGACAAATACTCACACTGCCAAACAAATCTGAGGGCAAGACTCAATCAGCAATTTTATTTTATTTTCTAAGAATGTCCATGAAACCCTTGTGGGGCTCAGAGACATTTTTGTAAATAAATATATTCCTTTGCAGTTTTTTTTACTTAATTTGCTTTTGATTAAAACATTACAACTAACATTTTTTAATAGTTTGAGAAGAGATTATGTTCGCAAGATGTTCACAAGAATCCTATTGCCACTTCCAGTCTATAAGAAACTATTTGTTCTGTCATTACTACATTTTTTATTCCACCACTGTGCATTGTCACTACTCCAGGTCATTGGCTTGTGAAGGGAGAGGCAGAGTAATATATGTTGTTTCATATATACTGTTTTAAGATGCAATGTGAGTTCCATAAAATGTAGCTGTTTGGGAGGGAATAAAATTAGCATAGGAAAAGATTTTCAGTGACAGAACAATATCTCTCCCACAACAGATACAGTTTAGTTCCAATATTAGGATGACCCAGTGATAATACTACTCTGTTGTAATATTTCAAGCTCTTGAGCACTGGCATCAGAATTTTAGTCATCATTCATGCCTGAAACTGACAGATTTAAAATCCAAAGACAGCCAAGTAAAATATGGTAAGTCATTTAGTTGTGCTCCATAGATTTGTAATGTGATTGTTCAAAGTAAGGAAGAAAGCTGTATTAGAGATACTGGTTAGCTCAGCTATTGTACATTATTTGACAGTCAGGTCATTATTTCAAAATAAAATCCTAGCACAGCTCTGGGTATTCCAAAATCGGTATTAAAAATCAAAAGAAAACTGTATGTGCATTTCCTTGAGCTGCCCAAGAATTTGTAGAATGCATAACAATAAATCAACAATACTCTTTTCTTCTTTCACTATGAATATATGCCTTACTCTTCTACAGTCTGTAAATAAATACCACAAGCATCTGGGATGTGCAAAGCCCCTGAACTGCTTCATAAAGCAAGTTGGCACAAGCAAAGGATCCCTCCTCAGAATATTAATGTTTGTTTGATTGCTTTATGAAAGGTGCTTTGCTCATACCAATACATTTTGCACACTGATACACTTTTCAAATGTACTAACAGCTGAGACTGCTGGAGAAAAAATGGAAGTAAATTTATTGAAGATGAATATCCCTAGAATTCCAGACAGAAGGATCAGACTTTTTTTTTAAAAAAAAAAAAGCATTCCCTGAAATTGGATTCAATAATATTTTAGAAGAAAAGAAATCAGTATGGTTTTTAATAATTTGGGCTTAGAAGACACTAAGATACCAATATCTTCAGCACTTTCAAATTTGGAAATCAATAGTTAAAAGACACATCTGAAGCTACAGAAAACATAAAATGTTTTGTTGTTTTCCTTGAACACTGTGGATCTACAAAAAACAAAATATCTATAGCAAACTGATGAATGGACTTCAAGGAGTACTTAGTTCTGTTTACCCCACTCTCATCTACATACCCTCACAGACACATCTACAGAGTCACATATATTGTTCCTTTACTGAACTGAATATGATGCTTAGACCAGAAGATCTCAGTTATTGTATGTCAGGCTTAACATAATTGTTTATAGAAATTACTCAATTTAAAGTTTTGTTTTTGTAAGTTTATAACTTTTATTTGAAAAGAATTAAAGAATTAATCAGTAACTATCACATGGAACTAATTGCAAACATGCTTTATTTAAATACATTATCACATGCAAGAGACATGATTAATTCATCTAATTATAAATGCCTTTCTAGTCTGTTGTTACCATACAGGCCTGTAATGTAGTATATCTAAAGCAGTGTTTTTCAACCTTTTTTGTGCAAAGGCACACTTTTTTCAGGAAAAAAATCACGAGGCACACCACCATTAAAAAATGTTAAAAAAATTTAACTCTGTGCCTATATTGACTATATATAAAGTAATTTTCCCACGGCACACCTTACACTATGTCACGGCACACTAGTGTGCCGCGGCACAGTGGTTGAAAAACACTGATCTAAAGTGTACTAGGATAGTAAAGGATGTCCTAAGAATATCCATCACAAAGAACTATTTGCATTACTGTAATATATAATACATATTTGTGAATATCAAAATGTACTATTAGAAATTCATATCTCAACATGATGAAGACAATTCCATTTTTTACAAATATGAGGAGTTACTACAGCTACCAATATTGTTCTCTTTATCAGTCTTTTTTTCTGGTACTATTCAGGGCTGGGCAAATCAACCTTACTCTCACCTTCTTCCAGAAAAGCAAAGGATGTTCAACACGAGGGATAACTGCAATATTGCATTCACAATATTAACCAATGAATTCAACCATTTTGTTCATTCAACCATATTCATTCATTCATTCATTCATTCATTCATTCATTCATTCATTCATTCATTCATTCATTCATTGTTTAATTTCTATGGCCACTCATCTCAGTCAATGTCTCTGAGTGAGGTTTATGTTTTGCAACAGAGACCATTTTTAGGTTTTTCAAAGTAATGAGAGAATTAATGAGAGAATAGATTAGTATTTATAATCAAAACATATAGCCCAAAAGATTATTATTCATCTATAAGATTTCAAAAAGTTGAAACAAATATATGGAAAATAATGTACAATATTGTGGCAACTTTATCTAGTAGTTCACATACGGGTCACTGTATCAATGTTAAGATAAAATAACATTAGTTATTTAATATGTTTGTTTTATTTTGATCAATACCTATACAAGTATCATTTATGCATGCAACAGATGGTAAAACTGTAAAAATGAGAGAAAGATTGTGTGATCAATTACAGACTGTACCAGCAATTTCTAAATTTACATGGGTAAAGTATGTGGAAGTGTTCATGTATGTATATTTTTAAATAAAGCTAATGCCCCAGGTATTGTAAATAAAACTGTTTATCAACAAACTAATGAATTAGATTAAGTATCCATAAAAACATTAAAGAAAAACATACACAAAACTCACAACATTAAAAGGGATGGAGGAATAAATTTAGTCAAAATTGTACAAACTTTTGTACAAAATTGTTCAAAGAGGCAGTTTGCTTCAACTTCAGAATAAATCTCACAGTGTATTTCCATTTGCTCTGATCATAATTAATGCAAATTACAATTGGCCCATAATCCAAGTCTGCAAGAAGTTTATAAGCATTCACCCTGATTAAGTGTGAAGTCATGGAAATGGGAAGAGATAAAGAAAATAATCTTCCTTTCTAACTTGGGTAGGAAATATTATTCCAGTTTGTACTGGTGGTGGTGGTAGTGGTGGGGAATGCCAAGGCTAAGCAGAGAAGCAGAGAAACATTAAAAATTGTTGTCCAACTTAATGCTAATGAAAGTTTGTATCTCAATAACTATTGTGATAATTACGGATGCCTCCAAATATCATCAGAAGTTCGTTTGCTTATTTCCAGGATCAGTGGTTTTGGCGAGTCAGAAATAACAGGGTGATGGATGGATACCCCATGCAGATTACCTACTTCTGGAGGGGACTGCCTCCAAGCATTGATGCAGTTTATGAAAACAGTGATGGGAACTTTGTTTTCTTTAAAGGTAAGAAGTTTAAAATAATGCTCTCATTATAAAAATTCTACTAAGAAACTGTTAAACTAGCATCTTATCATTATTCTAAGTGGGAAGAAAGAATGGCTATAAAGAGATGATAGATAGAATAGATGATAGATAGATAGATAGATAGATAGATAGATAGATAGATAGATAGATAGATAGATAGATAGATAGATAGATAGATANAGATAGATAGATAGATAGATAGATAGATAGATAGATAGATAGATAGATAGATAGATAGATAGATAGATAGATAGATAGATAGATGATAGATAAATAGATAGATTAAATGTAGTGAAAATATTGTTAACTGAATACATAAACATGCACAGGAAGTACTTGTTTAGATCAAAATAAAACATCTCTCTTTGAATGATAGCCAAGCTGCTTCAGGTTAAATTTCTGCTACCAGTTGTCCAGAATCTGTCAGAACTGGCCGAATACCACCTCTGGTTTGAATGCATAAAAAGAGGGTGAGAGGAAATCCCAGTTATACAAATACAATATTTCTAATTTAAATTGCATTTCCTTTTATTTGTTAAAAAAGATATTTTACTTTCCAGTATAACACACCACTTTGTTCTATTATTTTTTTAGATACAGCTGTGAATATTGACTTTGACCAAAGAAACATAAAGACTTTAAATTATTCTTATTCATTATTTCTAAGTCACATGGTGAACTGTAAATAAGTAAAATTCAATTTTGTTTATTTCTAATAAAGTAATGCACATCTAAAAATTGGAACTGTGAAATCTTTCAAGTTAGGGAACATTCAGAAGATTTCTTATTCCTAAAATTTCACGTTCTGACATTATGACATTTTGTAAGATCCTAGACATTAACAAAAGTTTTTTTTACTGCAACTACATTTGCCATAAGGATACATTTCCAATTTCTATTATAATCCTTATACTTTATTGATTTTTGAAATCTATATCCTACCTACTGAGCAGTGATTATAAAGGCAATTTTTAAATTGGACTGTTTTAATGTGCTTTATATCATGTGTGTCATTACAGAAATTAATTAGTTCAATTTGCGGTAGCTAACTTTAATCCATAGTTATATTGTACAATATCCAAGATCATTTTAGGGGGCAAAATTATGTCATCTTACGACCACTTGATGAACTTTCTTTCTCCCATTTGAAAGAACCCAACAAATGTCAGTTACTTTTCCAAAGTTTAGAAGAGCAAAGTTTTATATAGGTGAGAAGGAGAGATCATGTGCCATCCTGTGTCCCTGCTATTTCATATGCCATGTCCATTTTAATCAGAATTAGTTATTTTGGGCATTAGTTATTTGTCTTGCTTTTCATGTAATCTGTGTTACATAGTGATTTATCTGCCATTACCAATTCATGTGGGAAATGAAGTATTAACAATGTTCCTGTTCTCATGCAAATTTCCTTCGTAATTAAAAATTTCATAAAGACCAAAAATATGGCATGTGCAATGAAGTTTTTTGTATTCCTCTCCCCACCCTCAGTTTTTCACCAAGCATCAGCTGTTGCCTAAAATTAAAACTTTAAATATGCATCTAATTTGAGTTTAATGTGAAAATTATACATTCTACTGAATAAATACTAGTTTATCATTACAACCTGTTCACTGGGATTGAAAACTCATGTAGAATATAATTACTCATAAAGTATTTGTTAAATAAGGTACATTTATAGCAGCACAGTAAGGGATTAGATGAAAACTCTCAACTTTAACTGTTATAATGAGTGGCTCATTGTAGCTTAAAGGTTGGTTAAGACAGCATGCTGTGTGGTACTGGAGTCTCTTGAAAATTGCTCTGGCTACCTTTGAATTTCTCTTCACCCCCTAACTTGAAGGCTTCTATCCCCAAGAATGTAAGTAGTGCAGCTTTGAGAAACTTCTTTTTATTTTTATTGCTTAATAAATAGTTAACATGGAAAGGTACCTTTTTGCCAGCTAATTATGGGTGGAGAGTGTCACATAAGGGTGTGTGAACACAAAATGCTGAGAACACATATTGTAGAAAAACAGAAAAGAGCTAAAAAATGTACCACATTTCATTACTGCTTCAATGTGTTTAAGTCATTTATATTTGGTTTTGAGGTTTTTTTTGTATTATGGATTTTTCTAAGATGCTGTCTTGATTTAATCATCCCTTTTTCCTCTCCACTATCAACTATTTTATATGAAACTACATAAAATTGGAAAGGAATGTTTACATTTCGTTTTTTAAATAAAGTTTGATTCCATTTATCTCTTGTGAGATTGATTTTCCTCCAAGCAATTAAGGAAGTGATCCAAAGGTAATTTTTCCAAAAGGCAACTGGACTTTCTTGGGTTTTTTCTTTGAAGATGTTTACTTCTCATCCAAGAAGCTTCTTCACTTCTAACTGACTGGTGTGGAATGGAAAGGTGTACATTCTGTGAAGTATAAACAGTATAAATCCTTCAATTCCCAACCAGTCAGTTAGAACTTAAAAAGCTTCTTGGGTAGAGTAGACAGAAGACTTAGAATAACTTTACTGTTACTTTGAATGTACACTACTCGGCATACATTAAAATGAAATTTGGTTGAAAGAGGAGTTGGAATTCATTGACCACATGTCTCAGAATTACAGGAATAGGAGATAAGTGCTGTATAATTTATTTCATTTTTTCCTTTCTATTTTCTTTTAATTTATGACAAAACCAGTAGAGTCTGTGTGCTAGGATGCTCCCTAGAAAATAGGTGGTAGAGTGAAAACTGCCTGGCTGCATACCAAGGCAAGAAGCAAAACTGATGGGTAGCTCCAGAGGATTTATAGAAGAGAAGGTTCCATACTGTTAGCGTTTATACTGTGAATATAGCATTGATACCACAGAGAAATTTCAAGATTCTGAGTCCAAAACAAGTGTGTTTTGAGAATTTTAATCAGAAGAAAAAAGAATCAAGCTGTTTTGAGTTTATTCTGACAGAACAGCCGCAGCTCAGAATATTCCAATGTATCGAGAGGAATTGTTTTGTTCCAAGCTGAAAACAAAAGACATTTGCTATTTGATATATTCCCCTCATTCATGCCATGTGTAATTGGTTTGGCTTGGTTTTCCCTGGGGAGCACTTGGAGAACTTTTAAGGCAATTTAGCAGTAGATGTGATCTTCCGTTTTCAGACTTTTAAGAAAATCAGGATGCTTTCAGCTCCAGATGTTTAATTTTTGTGAAAAATGTCTTTGCTATTTTGAGGACCTATTCCAGCCTTCAAAAAGATGTCATAAGTAATAAGAGTTTCTCTTTTTTTCATTTTTGGGAAAAGGGCCAGATATCTGATCAAGTATTTCTTTCTATGTATATATAGTACATATCTTAATATTTCTGATATAAATAAATTTTCCTTTCTACTTTATGGAAATGTAGCCTAATCTAATAGTGCCATAAATAAGTAATACCATTTTATAAGTATTATTAAATTATATCTTTTATTTTCAAAAAATCATGGCCTAGTGGGAAAAAATGCTATTCATTTTAATACTATTCTTGTATTATTAGTACCACTGATTTTTGTTTATACTTACTCAGAAATGATTTTCATTTATCCTTTGAACTCCATGGGATCATTAAATGTTTTAATAAGTCCTTTCTGCAGAAGCTTTCTTAAAGAATATATGAAATCTGGAATGACACACACACACAAACACACACACGCACGCACAGACATTGTATTTCCCCGTAAATATAACCTATCGTGAAAACAAGCCCTATCCTGATTTTCATGCCTGTGCCTAATATAAACCCTATCCCCAAAATAATTCCCAGTTAAAACCTGTCCACCATCTGGTTGTACAAGGTGGGGCGAGGCACAGGCATGGTTGTACATAATAGGCACAATAGGTGTCAGGGCATGGGAGGCCTGGCTGTTGGGGCCCTAAGGTAAGTGGGTAAGTCATCTCCCATGGTGCTTATTTTGGGGCAGAAAAGAAGAGACACGAGACATATTTTGTAAGTGAAATTTTCTCTGGAGAAGGTATACATGTATATTCATGAGCAAACATCATTTCACTTTATTTGTACTGGCAAAATGACCAGGTAGTAATGTGAAATTAGTTTAGGATATATGTAGTATATATGAGTATATGGATACACATACAGTGCAATAATGGGTTTAATTAAAGTTAAATATTATGCAGCATTATTATGGAGATTGTGTGTAACTCAGAATAAATTTACTTTGTAACTTTAGTGTGATACAATGGCTCATCTTTTAGATCTAATTTCAAATTAGGAATGCAGTAGAAACTTACCGTCCTTTTTTTCTAAGAAAATTGTTTAATTAAACTGGGATCTTTTCCAGAATGAAGATTCCACAAACATTTACTTCAAAATATTTACTGATTGATAAGCTGAATCCAAAATTGCATGCATTTGAGAGAGTTGTTTTAGATATGTTTTACAAAAAATATATACTTTAAGAAGATTCATACAAAAGGATATAGCAGTTGCTATATACTGTATACAGTATACCCACAAGATTACAAAATCATAACAAGGGAGTTTTTAAACAGATTTTTTTAACTAATAGAAAATTTGATAGAGCAGGTAAAATTCTTGAATGCATACTAGATTTGTACTATGTCATAGCCCATCTTAAGATGCATGGTCTTTCTATAAAATGAAAGGTTTATTTAATTTCAAAATTTAGAAAGTGTGTTTGTGTGTTTCTGTGTGTGTAAACATTTTATGTATCTTATATTTTCCATTGATATTTGAGTACCAAAATCAAAAAAATTGACAGCTCACTTGAAAGTATAATCTCTTAGTAAAGTCTTTTTAAAACTTTTATATGACATAACCTTCAACAGTACCTTATGGCCATACTGCCCAAACTTCTGCAAATAGGTGGTATAATATGAATAATTTCTTAAAAGGCAGTGATGTTCTTTTATTTGATTCAGGACTGCTTTCTCTTCTGAAAAGGAACAAGAAATGCTACAGAAGTATGTAACTGCTTTTTAAACATTAGCTCTACAAGACTGTGAAGTTCTTTTAGTGTGACACAGATTTTAAACAGTGCGAAAAGTGAACTGTCAAAGGCATCTGCCACATTAAAACTTGTACCAAGCTAAATGCAGCAAAATAAAAATTGTAGAAAAATTCACACCCCAGCTGCCATGACTCTCAACACTGTTGATGCCATTGCTGACAGATATATTTCGCAAGATAAAATATACAGGCAGGATATGGATAAGAATCAAATAATGCCTAATTATAAAATAGAGGAAGATGCTGCAACAGTAATGAAATGAACCATGCCAATATTTATGATATAAGAAAAATAATAACCTAGCTAGGTATGTGATCCCTCCTATACAACCTGAACAGTAATTTGGTCAGGAATAACTGTTACTTGCTTATACTTGTTGGTTTGTAGTGTTCACCTAATATTAAACTGAGACTTAATTTATGCATTGTACTACCTATTGTCACTTAAATCTACCTTTCAGGTCAGATACATAGATTCTAGTTATTTTTAATTGACAATATTTTGTGCTTTTCAACAGATTTATACTATAGAGGAAATAGTTGTGACCTTTTTTTGGAAAATACATGTACATATAATAATGCAAGTTGAAAACTAAGATGCATAACAATAGTATGCTGTACCTATTCAACTTGCTTCGCAAAAGGGAAAATCATGCAGAATTTAAAATATGTCTTATATAGAACCCACCTAGCAGAAATGTGTAGCATAATGGTTGAATTAGGCCCAGTTTCATTCTTTAACTTCAGTTCAGTTTTGGGTTGTTTCTTGTCTTTAAATCCTTTTAGCGTTCAGTTCTGAATGTGAAAGCTTTTGTTCAGTTTCCTTACTCAAACTCATCCAAAATATGGCTCTCTATTCATGACCTCATCCTTCAACCGAAATCTGTCAGTGTTGACTTCTTGAGCTTAAGAAACAAAAAATAAACTTTTCTTTTAAGAAAAGCTTCAGTTCTGTTTGGGTTTCTTGTATATAGTCTGCACTACAGATAATGTTGACAGCCGAGGCAAAATAAACCCTTTATCTAGTGCATGAATAATATATCTCAGTGTGAACCCAAGAGAAAACTTGCAAATAAGTAATTACTGTTGACATTGTTCACCAGTTTCAAAGTAAGATATATTCAGTTACCTTTTAAAGTTTAATCTTTTTAGAGTTAAATGGCAGAGGAAAAGAAATGATCGGAATTATATAATTCCATTACTTTATAATGCTTCTATAATGGAAGGTTAACAAGACTGTTCTATTTCCATGATTTTACACATGTTAGGATGAATTGTACAATGTATGCATCCAGAAATAAAACAGCCATGTTCCTGAAATCCATCAGCAACCTAGAAATTAATACAAAGGGGAAAAAGGCTGATTAAGGAACAGTTGATTCAAGCCCAAGCACTGGGAATGAATATATCAGCATATAGCAGCATATAGCTCTAGCTATATTATCTATTTTCCATAGATAATAACATTCATATATAAATCAAAGGTTTCAAGGACTCTGAGATTCACCAAGCCAATTTTCCAGCCATTTGTCTGTTTATTTAATTTAATTTCAAGGCCACCCAACTCTTCAATGTTTTCAACAATTTACAACAAAAAGAAAGATCATACTGTATTTTAAACGTTCTGTTTTATTCTGTATGATCTCAAACAAAGTCTTGTGGGTGGGTTTTTGTATTTCTTAAATAATGTAGAAAAGAATGTCTGCATGCTTAGAACATTAGACTACAGTGAGTTGAAATCAAGGTCAGTGTATCCATCTAGAAAAGGACAGAGTAGAGCAGATTAAGAAAACAATGTAGATGAAGCTTCTGAATACTCATGTGAGTTCTTGGGTGGAAAAGATTGTATTGGTTAAATGTCTATGGAGATTCTCAGTCATTCATCAGCCATGGTTGTCCCAAAGGTGCTTTTTCAAAAGGCAACTGGATTTTGTTTTTCCTTGAAGACGTTTCACTTTTCATGCAAGAAGCTTCTTCAGCTCAAGTTCAGAACTGAAAAACTTTCTTAGATGAGAAGAGAAACATCTTTTAAAAACAACCACATCCTTGGGACATCCTGTCTGTTATTTAAGTTCTGACTAAACATGAGAGACCCACCACCAATTCCATTTTATTTTAAAATAGAGTTGTACAACCCACAGATAAAGCTGGTTTATTCTGAGCATTCCTAAATTTATATTGCCAACATTTTGCAACAAAAGTTACATTTTAGGGACATGATTTCAGCCAGGGGGAAGTGGAAGTAGTTGGCCTTCCAAATTCCTCCAAAGTTTCTTTAAAAAAAAAAAGACTGAAAAAAATCAATATTTTAAGAAATTTATTGTAGTTGTTAAAATTTGTTCATTTCAATCCATAAATCCAGAGCCCCTTTCCGGCTTTGAGGATCAGCGGGAGGGGATGATTCTGCATGAGTGGCAGGCAAGCGTGCACAGATGGAACTCCATTTGCACAAGTCCACTGTACAAGTGGTCACCCACTGCTCGTGTCCTTGCCCACTGCCCACTGCTTCTGCAGCCCACTTGTAAAGAGCTCAAGGCTCAGTAGTTGGACAGGGCCCCAGCTTAAACCCACCTAGAAACCCACCAAAAAGGAAACTGGACAAGCATTAGCTATTGTCAGTATACAGTTTAGAAAAATTGCTAACCAAAAGCTGAAGTATCAATTTTACTGGTAAAGGGAGCCAATAGCTTAATATGAAATGAATTTGCAGTGTCAATTCTTAAGAAAAAAAAATGGCCTGGGTTTTCACTGGATCTTTTAATAATTCACAAAGATTTGTCTTTAAGAGTACCTTTAGGAAATTGTGCAGCAATGAGACTAGAAAATCCTTGATCTGCAGTGGATATTTTCTAAAATGTTTCCTCCCCACCCTGAATGTGATTATGCTCTACTGAAATAATATTTTTGGAATAGGAGTATGTTTCTAGGATCCTTGAGATGCAAAAGAAAAGGTTTCTGAATATAGCCTGCTTCTTTGGTCAAGGTGAAGTGTCCCTCCTTCCCCTTCCTTCCTTTGTGCAGTATAAAAAAACTATATTGTGATTTAATATACCACCAAATGCTGTTTACTTCTGCTGTAATGGATGCTATTATGCCTTTCCTTTCTTCTTCCTTTTAATCATATTCTACAAAGACATGCAAATAAAGCAAGGTATTTTGAATACAAGGTTTATTGTCTGCAAGAAAACAGGTGTAACAAAACTTTTTATTTTCAAGAGAGAATTTTGAGAAGAGGTCTTTGAGTGATTATGTTGAAGTCTTGAATAGAAAGGGATGCATTTGTAAAAAAAAGTGGATGATAGAGAAGTTGATAAAAGATTTACTCTACCACTCAGCATGCAAAGGAATAAAGCTTTAACATATTTCCTAATTAAATGTGTGTTAAAAAGAGACGCTGTAAATCAGAAAAAGACTTTCCTTCCCTTTCTCCCTTCCCTTTCCTCCTTGCATTTTCTTTTTTTATCCTTTATATAATACTATTGTGGAACATCTATAAAATAGAAATATTTTTCATGTTTTTCTGTCACAATGGTTCTAGCACAGATCTGATCCTTAGTCTATAGGGAGAAACAAAAATTCATTTCAAACTGTTGATAGAAAACAGAGCCTAAGGGTGAATATGTGTTCATGTAGCAAGGCCTCCTATATAACTCGCTAAGCATAAGGAGAAGTGTTTGGGGTCCCATTTTTATACTTGTCAGTTTCTAAAGGAACAGGTATAGGAAATATATCCTGTGGTATGCAATTGGAGCATGTCTGACCTATAAAGTGACAACTTGCTTCTGTTTGGCTGCATAAAAATAAGTGAAATTCTAAAGATGGACATGTTTTGGCAAAGTTATCCATTTCATGGAAACTTGCAGAATATTGCAAAATAGGAGAGCCAGCTGAAACTACAATCCACCAAGACGGTTGCAGCTACATCACAGATCGGTTGCTCCCGGTTCGGCCTGGATCGAGTGAACTAGTAGTAGCGGTGGTGGGAGGCTCTGCCCACCCAACCGGATGCTTCTGCGCATGCACAGAAGCGTCGCACAAGCGAACCAATAGTAAAAAAAAATTGGAAATGCACCACTGAGCTACATAGCAATATAATGTGTCATGGACCTAGTCCTCATCCTATTTATGTCATTACAAGATTGCAACACATTGAGCTCTGGTAAAAAATAATTTTTCAGCTTCTTAGTCAGAATTTCTGTAGAAAGCTTAATATAGTGTTTTGTTTCTCTTGCACAGGTAACAAGTTCTGGATCTTCAAAGATACCACCCTCCAACCAGGGTATCCTCATGATTTGATATCATTAGGAAGTGGGATTCCTCCCCATGGTATTGATTCAGCAATTTGGTGGGAGGATGTTGGGAAAACCTACTTCTTCAAAGGAGACAGGTGAGTGTGTTCATTCTGGAAGGAACAACCATACAATTTACATGCCTTGCTGTTCTCCTTCATTATTAGTATTAATACATATTCAGAAATATGGAATATTTATTTGGCACTATTAGTGTTTCCGATGGCAACACTAATATTTATCATTTTGCTGCTGAGCATTGTGCAGTTAAGATTTACTCAAATAAACATAGATATAAATATATGAATATGCAGAGTAAAATTAAATGTCAGCGTTCCAAGTAACACACCCAATGAAAGAAGGCTTGAAGTTCCTCAAAGTTCCATTTTGTTAAAGATATCGTATTGGTGGATCTGGAAAACCCGAATCTGAGAGTTCTGAGTTTTCCCTGCCGAAAAGAAAGTCAAAGATCCATCCCCTGCACCCACAAGTCCATCACATGGTCCAATCAATTCACCATCCCAACTGGAGACAACCCCCAGTCACTCCCATCCAGGTGCAGGCCGAATGTCCTTGATTCCCAGAGTAAGAAATGTTGTTATGGCTAATCCTCCACCACTCCTTGCAATCCCCCCTTTCATTTTCCCAGGTACTAAATGTGGCAACCCTGAAGCTCCAACAAGAAAGGTGGCTTCTAGGGCTGACATTAATTTTATATATGATGTTAAAGTTTCAGTTATACATATAGCCAGGCTAAAAAAAAACCTTTAAAATAAGTATTCTTTGTTGTATTTTGTCAGCTTTTCTACAGGAAGGTTTGTTGCTGCTTGTGTTTTATTTTGGACGTTTGGTTCATATAATATTTGAAGTATCCCGTTTGAAATGTAGAAGAATTGCACAGCTGTTTTTTTAAATTATTATTTTCTTCCCTTGAGTTACCTATATACTTTTCCAGTTGGCATTTCTTTACTTAATTAATCCACCAGTACATTGTTGATGGACTTTTTTTTTTAAAAAAAAGGCATATAAAGAGGTAGCACATAGGAAAGGAAAAATAGTATTTTTTTTAAAAAAATCACACACAAACAACAACATATTTCTATCAGGTTCCAAACTGAGTTGGGAACATGCTATATGTCTACCAAATGTTACAACTGTAATGAAAACTTCATTAGGTGTTCTTGAAGAAAAGCTGGCATTTCTACCGTTAGGGTTAGGGTTATGATTGCCAATCAAACTTCAAAGGTTTCTTCGAACAAAATAAAGCACAGAAAGCACACCACATAGTTGCACTGGAGCTGGCACAAGTAGGAAGTCAGTACTTTCAACCTGGAACAAGAAAAATGGGTGAAAATTGCATTTACATGGGTTGGAGATAGGAGAAAGACATAAGTGGAGATCTGCAATCGTGAGCCTGCACTAATGACTAGAAAATCTAACAGCATGGATATACTGTTAATTTACTTCCAAAGGAACATAAGGAACATTGTCTTCAATTAAATCAAACTTTTTACAGTTTGCCTATTTTTTTTAGTTGAGCTCTGTCTATCATTTGCTTAGTGTTGAGCAGTAAAGATTAAGCCAGTTTAGTTATATTAGATGCGCTTATATAGATGGTCATTTGACTTTGGGATACTTACAGGTGCAGTTGTCTATTCTGCCTTCTAACTTCAACATTGGTCAAATCTTGCATTACTTTCAACAATCTCACCAATTTGTTTTCTTGTTTGAGTTTGACTTGCATGATTTTATTAAGAGGATAGCAATCCAATTTTTAGAAATGAAACAGGGCAGAAATTCCGACTTGGGGTCTGCTTCAGCCTCCTGGTACGGGGGGAAGCTGAAGGGAAGACTGGAAGGAAGCACCACTGGAGGAAAAGAGCTGGAGGGCCTTTTTATAGTGGGAATGTATCATGGCCTGGAACTGGCTGACCATCTCAGCCCACTTAGCCTCCATGTCCTGGTACCTGGCCTTGCAGTCCTAAAGGTCTTTCATCTGCTTAGAAAGCCTATGCTCATAATCCTTGGTGAGGTTCTTCTGCTCAGCCTCCTTCTTGGTCAGATCCAATTTGAATTGAGCCAGAGGTTTTGCCAACTCTTTCTCATGGTGGCTGCTTAGCTCCAGCAACTGCTTTCTGTTGGGGCCATAAGGAGCCTGGGCAGGCAGGCGAGAAGTGGCTGGGAGGGGAGGAGCAAGTAGAGGCCAATGAGGTGCCATCAAGTTGGCCATACCCACTCAGTCACATGACCTCCCACTCAGTGACCCGCCCACTCAGCCAGTCATTAGGCAGATCATATTAGTGGTCCACAGGATTTAAAATTATGAATTTAGTGGTCCCTGGGGTCCAAAAGGTTGGAGACCCCTGCTTCAGAGTGTACAATTGTGTGGACAGAAAACAGGCAGCAAATGGGAAGCTGAAATTCATTAAGCAAATTGCCATCAACTTCAATGGAGGAGAAAACACTTTTTATAATCTGCTTGTTATGGATGTGAATATTATTTTAATATTAATATATTTAATATATTAGTTCAGTCCACATGCTTTGAGGACTATTTAAATGTTAGGCATCCTAGTTGTATGTTTGAGATTGGAGGTATTATACATTTGAATTTTTTCCATTGACAATTTTACAAAGTTGAGGTCTTCTTTAAAATACAGTGATGAGAAAGAGGAAAAAAACTGTGTCCAAAAAGAAAAAAAAACCAAGGGAAAATAACAGAAAAAACTTCTGTTGGTGAGAAGGTTACTTTTTAGATCCAGAACAAGCATAATGAGACCCAGCAGGTCATAAATGCAATAAAGTGTATAAAGGAGGAGATTTGAAAAATACCAGCCATGCTAAGATAATTGAGCTATTACAGGATATTGACCACTTAGTGGGAATAAGGCCATATCACACTAAGCTTTTCAGCACATATTGTTTATATCCCCCCACTTTTTTTACTTCTTAATGTAATATAGGTTGAATTCTCCCACTGGTTTTAATTGCACATATAAGCCTCTTACAAAGTTCTTTCTGGACTGAGAACAGCCCACTGTTGCTTCTTTAGTTGCGAAGATTTGGTAGGGATAAAAAAGTGAGGCAGAAGGTGATAACAAAGCCAAAGGAGGAAAATTGCCTTCCTGCAAAGGCTGTGAAAAGGTGTTCTGACCTCCCAGGAGAAAGATAGACCTGAGAAACCATACAGTATTGCTGGATAACATTTTGACTTCAGTCTTTGAGGAATGTGTTGGGAACAGATTGTAGCACCAATCTGCGATACCTTAAATTAGCAGCATCTTTTTCCTGCTACTTCCAGGTGATCCTGAGAAAAGATGTAGACATTGCAGGTAATTTCCAGTGCTCTGAAGCACTTTTTTTTTGCAGATTATATTAGAAGCTTCACAGCTTTTCAACACAATGTATTTCTTTCAAATATTCTCTATGGTGACCTTCTACCACTGCACCATAGAGTATTTTAACTTATTGCACCTGTGTATGGTTTTCCAATTGCATAGTGACAGGTAGGACAGCACTCCAGAGGGTCAATGTCATTACCCAGAAGATCATTGGTTGCCTCTCCCCTCTTTGGAAGAGCTTTATAGCTCCCCATTGCCTGAAGAAAATTCAAAACATTCTTAAAGATCCATCTCATCCTGGGCGCCTTTTTTTTTAACTATTACCATCTGGCAGATGGTACAGGATAATAAAAACAAGGACAAATAGGCTGAAAAACAGCTTCTATCCCAGGGCAGTATATTGAATTCTACAGTAAAGTGCAATATTAATGCAATAGCAGGTTTTCAATTTTAATTTATTATAAGATGTGAAGGATGTGTGTTTGTGTTTTTATTTTTATAGTTATAATGCACACTGAAGGTGGCACTTAATTTCATTTTACGATGTGCAATGACAATAAAGTAAACTAAACTAAATGAGGATGGATGGATGGATGGATGGATGGATGGATGGATGGATGGATGGATGGATGGATGGATGGATGGACGGAGGAACAGACAGACAGTCAGACAGACAGACAGACAAGCAAATCACAAAGAATCAAACAAATGCAAGAGCATGTTCCCTGAATAAATCTTAAGTTTATTCAACTAAGCAGGAGGCAGATATTTGGGTCTTCACACCTCTTGAGTTATTGAATTATATATCGATTTCAACTTGCTATTCCTCTGCCTCTTATTGGATTGTTTTGCATCTTTTGGTCATGGCAGTCACTCCCATTTGCCTCCCCATTATTCTGTGGTCCTCGAAAGACTGTGAATGCTAAACATTGACACCACTATTTTTAGCCATTTCAATGAAACATATAACAACTGTCTTGTATGTTATAAAATAGGCATCATAGAGTTATAAAACAGGTGAGAAGAAACCCAATCTCTGCAAATAACTTTCACCTATGTGCATTCTGCTATTCAAACCATGTTAAATTTAATTGATCCTTGATCTTAAAAGTCTTACATATCTGCTTTGCAGGTATTTCAACCTTCTATTTCTGCCTTTTTTAAGCATTGAAATGACTGTTGCTGGTTCTCACTCACTGCTTGTATATAATGAAAGGAATGTTTAATTTCTCGAAACTGTGCATTTCTTTAACATGACCATTTTTTTTGCATTCAAAATTACTGCATCTGTAAATAACAAGAATATGCCTTGAATAAAGCAAGGGAAAAATACTGAAAGATCTATAATGCAATGAGTCATATTATACAAATCTCCAAACTTCATAATTTTATTTTTCCTCATAGTAGCTACCTGGTATTCTATGGAGCTTTTCATTTTTCTGTGCATAGAAAAAATGCCAAAAACTATTTTTCCCCAGTTGTTTTAATTGATGCAAAAATAAATTCTTTTCCATGATTTTTCAAAACATGAATATAATGGACCTTTATTCTAGGCAGCAATGCAGTGCTAAGATGCTTTCTTTTCTGCCGTTCCCACTTGGAAATTTTTGTTGTTAGTTGTGAAGTCGTGTCTGACTCATCGTGACCCCATGGTAAACGTTCTTCCAGGCCTTCCAGTCCTCTACCATCCTCTGGAGTCCATTTAAGCTCACGCCTACTGCTTCGGTGGCATCCAGCCACCTCATCTCTGTCGTTCCCTTCTTCTTTTGCCCTCAATCTTTCCTAACATTAAGTTCTTCTCCAGTAAGTCCTTCCTTCTCATTAGGTGGCCAAAGTATTTGAATTTCATCTTCAGGATCTGGCCTTCTAAAGAGCAGTCAGGGTTGATCTCCTCTAGGACTGACCGGTTTGATTGCCTTGCAGTCCAAGGGACTCGCAGGAGTCTTCTCCAGCACCATAGTTCAAAGGCCTCCATTCTTTGGTGCTCAGTCTTCCTTATGATCCAACTTTCACAGCCATACAAAGCCCTATTAAAAGCTTAGAGAGTTACTTTTATCAATTATACCTCAAATTACTTTGAAATATAAACATTGTAAAGCACTATGGATGCAGACCACAACCCTTTGCATATAGATCAAGAAATTACATCATCGAGTTAGGAAGAAACGAATGTGAGCATATTGCAGTCATATGTCTGGTTTGTGTTACTAAGACATTGTTGCAGTCCAAGGGAAGGGATTACCTGTTTTTTTTTTAGAGAAAAAATGTTTTTTTCCTATGAAATGTTTCTTAGCAAATAGAGCTTTTATATAGAACTTCTCCCAATGTACATGGATACTGACAAAGAATCTCTGAAACTGAATTTGATATTTCTTTTGATTAGGATTTCAGAGCTCATTACATGTAGATACTCTGAGGCCAATAAGAAAAGCAGGATTCTGCTCCCAGTTAATAAGGCAATCTATCTTCTTAAGAACTGCATAAATAAGGTGTATTGCAAATTTACGAAGGATAAGACTAAATGCTTTCAGTTGCAAATTGCATTCTTACTGTATGTATACCAGATACAGATAGACATAAATGTGGAGAGATAAATATATAGAATATCTACTTAATTAGGGTTTACTTAAGGCCAGGAGTAATCTTTTTTACTATCTGAGGGGAGGAAGCTATAGGAGTAAAAAAAAAATAACTCCTTTTTAAAAATATAAATAACTTAGAAAAAAGTGTGTATTAAGAAAATTCCATAAATTTTCTTGTAAATACTGAGTGAGACTTACTTCTTATATATAAGACTGCAATCTAATTTTCTTTTTCTTTTTAAATGGTGTGTTATTTCCTTATAAATAAAGATATGTAAGGAGTCTAGCTGCTCAAGCTGATAAATATTGCACAATGGAATTTTTAAAAAAGACTCTGAAAAGTACAACATAGAATTAGAAGTGTTATGGGAATCTTAACTCAGAATGTGATTAAAATTTTGAATAAAGCATTGGTATAAATTCATCATTGTACGGCTGGATTTAACTCCTAAGTATCATAACTGTTTCGATTATATAAAACTACTCATTGATTTGGTTCTCAGGATAGATTAATCTTTAATCTTTTATGTACTTATTGGAAACATGTATTCAATCATCAAATGTTTAAATGTCTTTATTACTATTTAGAAGTATATCTTTAAATAGAAATAACCAGCTTGCCCTAATATTATCATTTCACATAGTACTTCATTTCACACACTGGCATTCATAAAATTTATTCTAACCTCATTCTTTCTCTCAGGTATTGGAGATACAGTGAAGATATAAGAACTATGGACACAGGTTATCCCAAATCAATCACAATCTGGAAAGGTATCCCAGAATCACCTCAGGGAGCCTTTGTTCACAAAGAAAATGGTATGTAGCTTCTTGTTAACACAAATGCTTGCTCCTTCCTTCCTTCCTTCCTTCCTTCCTTCCTTCCTTCCTTCCTTCCTTCCTTCCTCATTTATTCAAAGGGTTCTTTGTTAAAAGTGGGTCGCCACAACAGTGCAATAAATACATTTAAGATATCTAATGATTGGAATAGGCCCAAAGCTTTTCTAAATATATGGCATTGCATTGATGCTCAGCTTAAATCACATCTTCAGTGTCAAGCTTGTAACTGATGTAGATGGAGGGAGGGGGAGGAGCCATATTGGGACCATGATTCAGTTTGTTTTATTTCTTTTAATGTCATTTTCTGACAACTACAGATGAGCGAGACATCCAGGAACTGGTATCTCCTTCCCATTTGCTTAGAGGCAAAGCTTATGATTTACTTCCTGTGAAAGGAAACAGCCCCTTCCAATTCCAGCTAAGAAAATATTTGCTTTTACAAATAACAAAATATTTTAGGTCAGAACTTTTTTCACAAACCACCCAAATGGAAATATAATGTTCTAAAAGTCTGGACTTGGTTAGAACCACGTAATACAGAGTTAGAGGCTTATACTTTGCATAAGTCCATTTAACAAATACAATATTGCATATTCTTTTGAATATCAAATAGTGAACTGAATTGAACTACAGAAATATGTGCATTATATTCTTGATTATGAAGGCCTTCTTTGTATGAATATTAATTGTTGCTTTGGGCTGTTGGCTATTTGATTGTAAAGTTTTAAATTTCCAAATACAGTGGTGCAGTGGTTAGAGTGCAGTACTGCAGCCACTTCAGCTAACTGCTAGCTGCAGTTCGGCGGTTCAAAACTCATCGGCTCAGGGTTGACTCAGCCTTCCATCCTTCCGAGGTGGGTTAAATGAGGATCCAGACTGTGGGCGCAATATGCTGA